ACAGACCAAAAGACAGCTCATTATTTGCTAGTCCCAGCAAACTGCAATGGAGGGGGCACAGGTTTTCTCACTTCCCAGGATGTTTCTATCATTGTTGTTGGCTCAGTTTTTCCTTCCGCTGACATGTCCCCAGGAAGAACCCTGCCTAGATATCCCCAAAACACCCATGTACTGTACTTAATAGCCAATATTAATGCCAGTTGTTCCATCACCTGCATCTCCCACCAGTCACTTGATGCATTCTATTAGTCACTCATATTCCTTTTCTCTATCTGTATTTTAACTAGCAGCAAATGTGACACTGATCTGTTGTTAATTAAGCCCAGCAAAGGAAATCACATCAGTAACTTATATCACAATGGCTGGTTTCTATCTGTGTGGGTACCACACACCCATGCACAGTCAGTGTAATCGTTCTGTGGTCTATTGCCTGTCAGGCACTTGGTTCCTTAATTGCCTCACATGCACAGACAGCGTGTCCTCACACTCCAAATGCTACCAGCATCATTAGTTCCTTTCACACTTCATTTATCCATGCATGGCATTCAGAGATTTCACAATCTGCATATCCTCCTTTTAAGACATCACAGAGCTCCTCTGCAGACCTTTGAGGGACTAACAAGCAAGATGTCTCTAGTTTATTAATTAGTTGCTTATCAGCCATGTTCCACAGCTCTCTACCAGTTCAGCTGCTCAGCTACAGTAATTAGACAACCCACTTTTCAGTCTTTTATAGCATTGCCTCAGAGAGAAAGTTTCGCTGTTCTTGAGACTGTGGTACTTTCTGGCAATTATTAGACATCTCCTGAATGACTAATAGAGAAATCCTACTTTCTGTATTATTCACTGCAGCCTCACAGCTCCCCATTCTATGTTTTGTCTCATGCACTCTGCTGTCAATATGTGCCATCACTGGCACTTGAGCATCCAGATGTTATCTGAAAGCTTCTTTATTTGCATTATTCAGATAAACAGTCAAAAAGCATGTATTCACACTCCCTCAGAATCAGACTGCAAGTAAAGTGGGTAGTGTTAGTTCTTATGCTGTAATCTTTCTCAAATGGGAACAAAATCAAGCCAACAAACATATGCCGTCTGCTTCATGCAATGAAAGGCTTGCTTGTATGTCTGAACTCAGGATTTTTATTAGCTACCAATAGTTCATGCAGTCATAGTACCTGATATGCAAAATTTTATAGAATATGAAACAGCCTTTTCTTTTTCAGTTTGCCAATCAGTCATAATTATCATCGTGCATTGAGTACAACTGGAGGGACTTACCCCTGCAGACAGCCATGGTCTGTATCAGTCACTGCCACTGTATCCCAGAGCAAAAGTGGGCTAATCCTGTAAGACAGGGTGACTTGTTTTTCTTCATGCCATCAGTAAGGCATTGCAGAAGTATATGATGATTATATTATATTCTCCATAGTAGAGAAATACAAAACAAATCTCCTTATCTATTACTGTAAGAGAACTTCAACTTCGTTTGTTCAAGGAGACTTGAAGTACTTCATCATGATGTTGCTTTTCTGACACGCAACTTGCAGAATTGCCCCTCGTGTTGCCTTATGCACAGACATACAGATGAAAACAGCATGTTCTGGGCAGTTTATGCATTTAATTAGACAATTGTGAACATGAAGTTTGGATTTTTTTTCGATGTGAATGTAAGGGGGAAAATGAACAGGGAACGTCAGCTCTCCACAGAGCTTCCATAATTCAGTGAAGAAAGCTTTACAGACGTCAGTCAGAAATAGTGCCAAAGTGTGCCACATATGTGTTCAAAGTATTCTATATGAATTAAACTGTTCCACGAGAAACCACTGACTTCACTTGTCTTCACTTCTTAGTTTGGTAGAGTGATGGACACTTGTGAGATTATTCTGCCTTTTTTGTTTGTTTGTTTGTTTTCTGGGGTTGTTTTTGAGCATAAGAAAGAGATGGCTGCACAGATTACTTCACTTAAAATTTCCCTTAAACAAGATGCCTATGGAGAGTTTCTTTCATCATATTATACTTTCTATCACCTACAGTAAGGAGCAGCTCCTTTACATTCCTCAGCTCACACTCGAGATCCTACGCAGTGTTTTCAGATTAACAGGTAACAAATGAAATAGACACAAAACTTCAGTGAATACTACCTGAATGCTGTGAGAAGTCTTATTACACAGTGAAGACAAATCAGACATTTAGGCAGGCTGAAATCTCAGACCCAATCAATGTACTGAGACTGGCCTAAAGCCATGCAGGCTTCAAGCATGTGTGAATAGATAAACTTGAGTCCTCCCATAGGCAAATTATTTTGCATGCCTGGTGGCACATACTTTTTGCCCAAAAGCTGACTTTCAAGCCCCGTGAGTTTTCAGATCATGTAACCACTCACTTGCAAGTACTCTACATACTCATTCACACTCTTACATAGAGTAGCAACTCTGTAAATCTCAGAACCCAAGCTGTAGGTGCTCAAAGCTTGTGTGTCTTACACCACACCTGAGGATACAGGTGTGGAGCCAAAGGTCCTCACGGTCCAAGTGCTGATGCTCAACTAAGTGAAAGATTTTCTGATCGGATTTTCTGATTTTTTCCTTCTCAAGGACTTGGTGGGAAGCTCCTTAAGCACTACATGTTCCAACCTCTGCCCTAGCATTTGCAAAACAAAAATTAAGGCAAAGTGACAAATAACAGTAGCTGCCTACAAGAGTCCTAAGTAAAATCAGTAGCCGTGGTGGAACAGCCACATCAGCACTCCTGCAAAAAGCCAGTCCTGAGGCTATCAGCTGAAAGCAGATGTCTTTGAGCTACCCTACACTTAAACCCCCTCTTCAATCACTCATTCAGTGATGTGTTTGCTTAGATAGATGATGAGTAAATTTTCTGCTACCACCTAAGCTAGTTATTAGTGAGCACTGTTAACATACCTCTTAAAATGAACTGCAAGAAACAACCCCCAACGAATATAGAACATCTTGCAATTACTTCAGTTATATCTGCTTCTTCTTATGTTTCAGCTGTAGAATTCCATACCTGCTCCCCAGCCCTTAGTCCCTGGAGTCAATACTATCAGGACAAATGGTTCATGTTCAAATCCTCAGCACTTAGGAAGATATATAATAGGCTTATAGCAAGTAATTGAATGGTTAAACACAAGGAACTAAGCTTCTGCCAGCTACTGTCAGCAGATGCTATGACAGCAAGAGACAGAGCTCCCTTGGAAAACTTCTCCATAAAATGGAATGAACTCTGTCAAAAGCTTTAGATCACTGTAAACCTCCTTGCTTTTCCTCTTGAGATGCGACGCATATTGCTCTGACCACATGCAGTATAAGCAGACAGCTATTTAGAAACTTATATGAAATAAAATTTCAAAGCAAAACACTCCAGCAATCCTCTGTGTGCCTTTCAGCAGTCGGTGGGAGGCTGCAAGACTAAGGCTGACAGGTGTCAGACGTACTGTGTAATGCCTGGCTGAGGAGTGCTCATATGCTCTAGCAGTAAAAAGCCTCATGAAGCAGTGCAGGAAGGCTGAGATCCAGAAGGCAGTTGCCTTCCTTTTCTTTGCCTGTCTTTTCTCAGTGTAGTGGGTTGACCCTGGTTGGGTGCCAGGTACCTAAGGCCACTCTCTCAGTCCCCTCTGCAACCGGACAGAGGAGAAAAAAACCAACAGTGAAGGATCCATGAGTTAAGAGCTGGGAGAGGTCACCATCATGGGCAAAACTGTCTAGGAAATTTCAGGCACCCAGAAGCAGCTGGGGAACCTCACGAGGGAAGGCCTCAGTGCTGGAACAGAAAGATACTGCCTGTACAGTTTACCCAAAGGCTCACAAGGGACAATCACACGTGCTTGGGAAATGCCACCATGCCCACCTGCCCTCCAGCCACACTCTCAGCAGCACCTGTGGATTTTAGACTCTCCATTTCTTATTTTGAGTTCAGTAACGTACAAGAAATTAATGTTATATAATCTGCTTTGTAATAGAGAGACATTTAATTTTTGAATGGAGCTTAAATAAAACTAGTTCTGCTGACTAGTCAAGAACATTGCACAAGCTCTGGACAACCTGGAGTTAAACCTATCGACTGGCAGGATGATGCCAGCATGTTCACTGATCTGCTGTATGATGCCAAACAGGAAAGGTAACAGCTGAGTTGCTCTTGTCTTTCTTTGGCAGAAATATTTCACTTTTTCTCGTCTATCTGGCTGCTGATTTACTTTTTTTCATTTGTAAGGAAGAGTATATTAGCATCCAATTATGGATTATTTTGGCCAGTATTTTACAGATTCCTTTATTAAATCTCTCACCAATTGCTTTATCAGATCTTTCTTGACTTAAAATTATTTTATTTGCACCACTGTTATCATCTTTCAACTGATCAAGAGATCAAATTTTTAATTTCGCAGACAATACATTATGCCTTGTGTTTTAAAAATAAAAGACAAACACCTGATTTTGCTTAATCAAAGCAAAGAGAAAAGTAAGCTTAACTACCATGTTGATTTCTAAGGCATTGACCAGTCCTGACTGCAGGTCCGAGGTAATTTCACATCTTCTGACATGCTGTGGAGATTGCAGACAGCAATTCTTAAAATCACTTTTACGTTTGCATGTATCTTTATTGGGGGCCTCTAGTGGTCTAGTGGTTAGGGTGTAGGACTCTCACCGCTGCGACCCGGGTTCGATTCCCAGCCCCCCCGGGCAGATGGAGCTCGTTAGCCCTGT